TCCCATTCCCTGAAGACTGGCCAGAAGTCACCAACCTACAAGATCTCTTCAATGGCTGGGCAAACACGGGATTGGGCCAGTACTTGATGGATGACAAACCCGTCCTGGTTAGCCACATCACCAGGAACACCACAATCAATGGCACACCCACCAAACATAGCAAACTCTTGAACACCTATGGTACGTTTACAGTACCACGATCACTGGATGGCTTTGCCAGATCATCCTCTGAGTTTGTACCTGCTGCTCTGATTTGCCATCAAGGCCCGAGCCACAGCACCGGCCACTACTTCGCCATCCTCATCTACAGGGATTTGATGTGGATAGCAGACGATGGCAAGCCACCGATCCACCTGGAGCACTTGACACCACAGCTGGCTAGCCAAGTCGCACAGGTGTGGGCTGTCCACATCGACACCTTCAGGTCAACCCAACAGGTGCTCCGATCTTTGCCACCTCCTGAGGAGCCTGATTTCGACCCTCCTCTGCATCCCAGTCCGGAGAAGAAGGCAAGGCTTGAGCAGCGCCACAACAACCTGCATTTTGCAAATGTGACCCATTTTGGGCGCCAAGTGCTGGACTGGTACTGGTCCAGGCAGAGTGAAATCTACGTCATGGTTGAAACACACCTGGAGCAGCAGCATCAGCAGACACGCCAATACTTCTCCATTCGAGAACTGCCTTTGGAACACCTGCACAGGCAAATGAGAGCAACACAGGCTCACATGGCGGCATATTGGTGCTTGCAGATCCTTCCTGTGGACTGACACCTTTGGAATCCTACACGAACCAAGGCTGCGGCTTTCAGGCATTTCTCTGGCAGGCAACAGAATGCACCATCTTGGTTGCGGGCACCTACATGAAGACAGGTGAAACGCTCCAGAGTGACGTCAATGCCACGATCCTTGCCCGGCTCTTGGCACTGGTTCAGGCCACGAATCACCCCTTTGTTCTGCTAGGGGATTGGCAAAACAGCCCAGGCAGCATCACCAGCACAGTGCTGCCGTCCAAATTCCATTTTTCCCGAAAGCACCTGCGAAGGGTTTTTCCTTAAGCACTGCTGCCTATTTCATCTTCCTTAATCTCTTTCTCTTACTTCATCTTCCCCACTCTCTCTTCCTTACTCTCTTTCTCTTACTTCATCTTCCCCACTCTCTCTTCCTGACTCTCTTTATCCTACTTCACCTTCCTTACTTCATATTCTTTACTAACTTTCTCCTACTTCACCCTCACAACATCATCATCTAATCATCACCTCATAGGTTATTAATCTCATATCATATCATATTATATCATATCAGGTTATAATATCATATCACATCACATCAATGTCATAACATATCATATCATATCATGTTTTAATATCATATCACATCACATCAATGTCAGATCATATCATCTCATATCATGTGATAAAATAATATCACATCACAACATAACATATGAAGTAGAAGTATCAGATCAACAATATCAAAGTACATCAGAAGTAGATATTGATAGGTAGGTATTGATAAGTGGGTATAGACAGGTAGGTGTAGGTAGGTAGGTGTAGATAGGTAGGTGAAGATAGGTGGGTGAAGATAGGTAGGTGTAGACATCTTCCTTAAGACACCTACCCAACTTCACCTACCCAACTTCTTCTTTATTCTTCTCTTTAGGCGGCGGGGCGGTGCGAGCAGGTCTTACGAAACGCAACCCTCTCGTGGAATCGTGGCCATCGATCGCGCGCGCGTGTGGTGAGACGCGAATCGCGTTTGTCCGTGAGCAACCCTCTGCGGAGATCGTGCGTGTCGATCGCGCGAACGTGTGGTGAAACGTACATTTTTGGTGTGCGCGGTGCGTTCCGCCATTATAATTCTGGTGACAAGGTTTTGTCGATTTTGCGTTTCCCCATTGTAATTCTGGTTTCAAGGTTTGCCCTCGAGCAACTCTCTGCGGAGATCGTGCGTGTCGAGTGCACGAACGTGTGGTGAAACGTACATTTTGTCTGAGCGCGGCTGGGCGCACCATTATAATTCTGGTCACAAGGATGTCGCCAATGTGCGGTCCGGACCGCATACTCATTGGGAAATGCGATTCCAAGGTCTGTGCCCGGTCTGTGCCCGGATCGTTCCCCCATTATAGTTCTGGTCGCAATGATGTCGTGAATGTCACCTCTGAACTTTCTACAATGCGCGCTCTGGACGTCATACTCGTTGGGAACCGCGATTTCATGGTTTGTGCTCGGATCGTTTCCCCATTGTAATTCTGGTCACAACGATGTCTCCAATGTGTGCTGTGGACTTCATACTCGTTGGGAAATGCGATTTCATGGTCTGTGCCC